AGAAGAAGAAGAAGAAGAAGAAGAAGAAGAAGAAGAAGAAGAAGAAGGCCCTATCAAGTCTCCAGGCTCTCTACCTCCTTCAGACTACAAATTTGTGAGCCCAAACACAGTTTAGTAAGCCTTCTTGCAATTGCGGTTTTTGGAGAGATTTAAAATTTTTCAATTTCCTAAAATAAGAATGTCTCTCCTAAAAAGCTTAACAACATTGAGGATAAAAACAGAGTCGTTCAGACCTACAAAGACAAAAATAGAGCCATGACATCATTATTCATCTAATTTCATGATCAAAGCAGGTAAAAGTTGTGGCTTTGTAAATATCTGCACATCAGGATTTGCTTTAAGAGCTCTGCTTATTATGCCTTTTAATTAATAGCATGATTGTTAGTCTATGGAGTTCTTTAAAACATTCCTTTCTTTATCCCTCTTCATTAAATAACTGTGATGTGATTGGGGCTCACTCAGGGAAAAAGAGTATGTGATGCAAAAAATGGCTCTGAGTCCAATCCTTTAATGCAACATCAAAGTTATCAAGAACTTCCCATGTGCAAGGGACTCTTCAAAACCTTAATATCTGATATAATTTTATCTTTCTATAGTCATCCAAGATTCACTGCTGTTTCATAGGCATTTTATCAATCAATAAAACAATCATAAATAAGTTTAACTGCCCAAGATCACATTACCAAGAAACCAGGACACTGTATTCCAACTGCAGGTTGTCAGTGTCCAGGGAATTATAACCACTGTGTGAGCTGATATAGCACACAAAAGCTCATGGCGCTAGATCTCACATCCTGTCTAGCAGACTGTTTCTCTCAACCAGTAATCTCCCTTCTTCCTGAGGACTAAAGCCACTGAAAACTACATGTAACAGGTCACAAACTATAAGATCTGCTAGATCAAAATAAAATCCGTAGACTTCTCCTCATAAAGTCCATCAGTAACAGATAGCTACTGAGCTCAGACAGGCAACCTAAGTGCTGTGGCAGTGGGGGGCGGGGGGGGGGCGGTGCTGGGGAGATGGCCTTGTCGAGGCCCCTGGTCTCAGGGGAATTCCAGTGACATTTGTGACAGAAGCATAAATATTCATCGCTCGCCCTGTATTTGCAATACATGGCAGTCATCATCACAATTACTCCACAAACTGCTGAATCTTCACCACCCAGGAAACACTGACATAATTATCTCAGGACAATACTGAGGTGCGGAGAAGGGAGGTCAGTTGTCCCTAGCTGTCCTAGGCCTGCAGTGTGTATGAAAAGAAGGCTAACATAAACCTACATTTTAACTCCCCGGAACTCTAAAATGTCTACTTTGAGTCATTTTCTTTGTCTTCCCAGAGATGTCACAGAACAGCTATGAGTTTAGGATTAAGCTATCTAGTCTAGACATCCATGTACGTCATACCAGAGATGTTTTCACAAAGAATCACTAGCACTTTGTCACAGACTAGGCCCTAGGCTGTCTGTGGTCAAAAGTGAACTGATCTTTGTGTTATTCCAGAAAGCCACTGTGGAGCCACTCTCTGAACAGTCTTCTTTGAGTATGCAATTCAGTTATCCCTGTGTAGCATTCTCTGGGGTCTTAAAGCTTAGTTAGCTGTGACCATGTGGACTCAGGAAACAGTGATTATCCTTTTCTATTAGTATTACCCTCTTCTATGGAATTCCAGAATGTTACAGGAAATGAGCGTCATGTCCTCCTCCGTATCATGTATGTAATCTTGGACACGTTCCCTTTTTCATTTCCTCCGTTTCTTCAACTTCTAAAAATCTATACCCATTAATAAAAACAAAATGAAAAACTTCCTAATTTGTAGCTCATAAAGAAATCTTCTAGCTGAGAATGGCTGCTGACTATCAACTCTTGAGAGGAAATTCTTATCATGGCCAGAAATAGGCAGAGAAGGTAGTAACACTGAGAGTGACTGCTAATATCACTGACCAGTGCACAAGCACAACATGCACACCCAGCAGAGAACCTTAACCCCAGGCCCCATCACGAGTAACAATTCAACTTATCGCTGGGAAAAGGTAATTTCCAATTCAAAAATAATTCCTCAAATAATTCTTCATTTTTAAGATTCTCTTCAGATAAACAATCCATTTAATATTTTACGAAGGAAGGGGGTTTTGTTTGTCTGCTTTAGGATATCAGCTCCAACATCTGTGATCCCATATACAGTTGGCACACATTGTAATAGCAGAGGCCGCTTCAAATCTTGTGTTTCTGTCTGTTCCAACACAGACTTGAAACTATAAGCACAGAGAATACAGTCTGGGGGATACCAAGCAAAAACTAAAGAAAATTTGCCTTCAATCACTTTGTTACATTGCTTTCTTTTCTGTTATAGCTATAATATACTCACTGATGCCCACAGCTGTTACAAGCTTGATTGCAAGTTCAGGAATTTCACAATGAATAAAAAAGGGCTCCAGAATGTAGCGTCCAAATGCCAAGGATATCACAGCAGTAGCTCCAGGGCTAAAAAAAAAAAAAAAATACATTTAAGTTAACTACAGGAAACAATAAAGAACATTTTCACTTAAGCTTTTTATCTTCAGGTCTCACTAGGTAACATGAGGAACAAGAAGTCCATTATGCTTAGAACTTCATAGTCCTTTAAGTTGCCATGCATTCCAAATGAAATATTGCCTATACCATAAGTAATGGCTAACTTTTAAAATATCTTTGTGAAAATTAGTACTTATAAATGGTTTAAGCCAACACGTGCCTAAATATTTAACATTGATTCTTAAATTTCTAGCAAAAAGAAAACTCAAAGCCAAGTGAAAATTTTTTATTCCTTAAGAATATTTATATAGAAAGAACCACAGGATAAGAAGACAAAATAAGCCTGAGAAGATAGCAACCCAGACAATAAGTCATCCCATTTTAGTTCTTCAACTGAAAAAAGGGAATATTCCATTTCATCTTAAATATGAGTGCATATTCTTGCCACACACAGGGAAACTCACAGAATTGCTTAACACCTCAAGCAAGAGTCCCTTTCAGCTTCTCTTCCTTCTCGTGGTTACCTCACACCCAGTCCTGATCCCTGGACTATTACCTGTCTCCAACCTTGATCTCCTACCTCCAGTCAAAACCACAAACATTGTTAACTTTCTTCTCTGCCTAGAGACACCTCCCTCCTTTCTCCAAGGGGATGTTCTTGCTGTTCTCTGTCATTTATAAAAGTCTTTGATTTGTGTAGTTAAATCTGATATTGTTTCAGCATCCTTATAGCATGTTCTGGCTATGGTCAGGTCTTACATATATACTCAGATCCAAGCTTCCCAGGACCAAGATCTGAACCACTTCTGCCCAAAGCCTCTTCAAATAGCTACTTTTGGTACTTTGTATTTAGGTTCAGTCTTGGTCAACAGAAGTGACTCCAATGTTCTTGATGTGCACCAAATCTGTCCCCTTGACACTGTTCATCACAGTAGTATTTTTATTCTACTTTAGGGTGATTCCCACGTTGAAATCCCATTCTTCTGCTTGACTTTGAGTTCTATGAAAACAAGACTGTGTCTGTCCCAACCAGAATATTATCTCAGTGCAGTGGCTAGCACAGCATCTGTTACAGTAGAAATTTAATAACTATTAAACATGGTGTGAGCAAGTGAACTCAACTTTAAAGTCCCCATCACCTTCTATTGGGTGACTATGCTTGCATTAGTTTTGCAGATTATTTCTGCCAATACCGAATTAATTTAGAAGTATAACTTCAATGGGGAGTATTTAGCCATCACAGATATTACTGTTTAGATGTCAGGAGTATTAATAATAGAGAAAAATTTATGTGTCCTTCATGTAATTTGCTATTTTGTTTGTTTAAAAGACTATCCCAGAAGTATAAGTCCAGGGTGACAAAAGTAAGTACAGACGTATTAAAATGCTTCTAGAACGTATTTAGGTAACTTGGCTGCATACATGCACACGCACATGCACACAGAGACACACACAGACTATAGAACAGGTTTTTGTTTTTGTTTTTCAAAATTAAGGCAATATCTGATTATCAGCTGTCTAGGAGCAGGAATTATGGCTCATTTCAATTTAGATCTCTTTATCTTGATATGTGTCATTCAGCAGCAATTTGTAGAAAAAAATAATCAATGAATGGGTACCGTATCTGTCCATTACAAATGGAAAGATCACACTCGTAGCAACACTGAGCAATTAATTAGATAAAGTTACACAACAAATGCATGGATGAAGATGGCGTCAAGTTCAAGGTCTTCAGGACTGGAAGCTAGGCATCCTGACTGGCCAGCCTTCTACAGAAGTGTCCTTATTTCAATGCTGGGTATGTTACATTCAAAATAATATAATCTTGGGCTTTCCGACACTTGTTAAGAAAGAACTGATATGCAGGATACACTGTGCACTGATGTAAATAGCATGAAAGTTCTAAGAGCTATAAGTCCCGCTGGCACAGACTTAAATGCTTATAATTGTAATAGAAAAAGTGCAAATAAAGTATTAAATAAAATGCAAGGTGATGAGTGTGATGTCAAATGGGATGTAGGGGATACTTTTGTTTTTCAGATGAGTTAAGACATTAAAAGATGAAATATAGCACAAACTAGGGAAATTAACTAGAAATTAACTGTATGTAAAAAATAAAATAAGATAAAGGAAAAAAAGTAAAGGACTCTATATGATTAAGATGACAGAGAGAAATGCAAAATAACATCCCAGATAGGGAAATCTTAAGGAAAAAAAAAAATTCCTCTTTTTATCATCATTTAACACTAGCAATTTCTAAGCAGCAAAAGAACCGCTGTTACCAATGACGCATTCACTACTCTGAAGCTCTCTATTTACACTGTAAAAATCATTCCTGCTAATAGACACTTAGAATGCTGCCTTTGTCACCTCTGTTAATGGCAGCATGAAAACCCAGCCGAGATTTCAGCACTGTGTGATTGTGTGAGTCTCATGTGTCTCGTGTTTACGGGAGAGCAGGGTTTCCCAGTGATTTCTAATGAACCCTGTGAGCAGAAAGTGCAAGTCACATCCCATGAAGCAAAACCACCTGTGACACAGGCTACACACGTGACATCACAGACTCCCTACAACGTGGAAGGAGATTTGCTATTCAGAGTGACTTGGCGCGATTCAGTGCCAAGAGGACCAGGAAGGGGGACAGTCTCACAGCAGCACAATCGAAAGATTTTTGTAACTGTAGATCTCTGATTTGTTTAGTGGGAGGAAATGAATCATTCGTGGTGTGTAAAGTTGATTTTTTTTTTTACCTTTTGTAAAGCAAAGACTTGATAATATACTAAGTTGTTTGGCATAGACATTTCTTAGTCATAAAAGTGAAGTTGAATGACCTGATGACATAATCAACAATAAGAAAAAAAACAAAAAACAAAAAAAACCAAAAACAAAACCTCTAATTCCTAGCATGTTAAATCATGTCTGGCTAGTCAAAGCTGCAGTTTATCAAAGTGTATTTTGAAGTCTCACCTCCACTCAAATAAATACCTTTCCTAGAGAACCATGCATCTATAAAAGTTGGAGCTTAAAGAAAACATTTTTATTCCCCGGGGTCTTTATTTTTTCAACAAAGTCACACGACACACATTTGTAATTAGTTAAAAGTTGTCAAGATGATCCAAAAAGTGATGAAATGAATCGGTTTACTTTTCCTCAATTGTTTCCATGTCCTTACCGTATTATGAGCAGTTCCACCCAGACTCGGACAAAAGCTGGTAAAGGACCAAAGACCTCCAGAATGTACGTGTAATGGCCACCAGATCTCTTTATGCTCGTGCCCAGCTCGGCATAGGACAAGGCTCCTGTGAAAGGTTGTAATAAAAAGGTACAAATTTGACACGCAATCAAGCAGTCCTGTGACGGAATCCATAGGTGGTGTTTACGTGGCATGCTATGTGACTAGCTCTTTCGGTCAGAATGACCTTCTTCATTAGAACAGTCATCACCTCATAACTGAGACCCACAAGTTCCTCTTTTAACTTCCTTACACTTGAGACCTGCCTCATGCTCATAGAAAAGAAAAGCCAAGGACTAGAAGCATGGCTCAGCAGTTAAGAACACTGGCTGCTCTTCCAGAAGACCCAAACTCAGTTCTCCACATCCACATGGTTGACCTACAACCATCTGTGCTCCAGTTCCAGGTGATCTGACGCTCTCCTCCAGCCTCCTTGGGCACTAGGCATCTACATGGTACATAAGCATTGACACAGGCAAAACACCCATACACGTAAAGGCCAAATAAAATGAAATGAAAAAAAAAATGTAAGGAAAGAAATTTTGTTTGAAAAGGTACCTACAAACATGATTCAGAATTTGTGGTTAGATGCCAGAGGGAAGAGGGAAAAGCGAAGGCAGATGTCAACAATTTTGCCTTATTGTTTGAATAATAATAACACTTCATGCTAAGACAGGTTATTATTCACTCAAACTGATCTCTCTATGGTATTTTAATAAATAATGTTTCTCTGGTAAGTCAAAATAGAGTTATCTGCTCTTTGGGAAAGAAAGGACTATATGTGTGTGAGACTTCAATTAATTGATAGAATAAGTTTTGTCAGCAAAATGAATCTTGGCTTGGTTGGTCTGTTCCTAGAAATGGTTATTCTGGGTGTTTTGGAAATGTACACCCAGGCAGTTAAAAGAACAACTGTTTTACAAAGAGATTTCATAATAGACAGTCATGTATTCAACATAAAATCAATTATAAGCTAAGATGTGAGTGTTAGAAATAATACTCATATATGATTAGGAGTTACTTAAACTCCTAAGCCCTAAGCTTCATATACCCTTTGAAGTTAAAAAAAAAAAGTGAACTTTCATCTCATGAAAGAATTGTATGTGTAAAGGTGGCCAAGTATACCACAGATAGGACTGACTCTGACACAGCAAACATTCCACAGGACATTACTTCACCTATCATCTGGATCAGAGCTAATTAGGATGGACATAAAAAATAAATGTCAATTTAATTCAAAAAAAACTCTGTCTATATTGCTTAGTGTTCAAAGAAAGGTAGCAGGGTTCTGCCCAATCACCTAAAGAGGCTCCAACTGTGGAAAGTAATTAGTGAGTAGTAGTGTCTCTTATAGAATGTTCAAAATAAATATAATTTGGAAACTTAGTGAAATCTGAGTATCACTATTTCAGAGTCACCTGGAGAATTTTTTATAGAGTGAAAAGATCAGAAAAGACTCCAAGACCACACCCTAGTCTCCTCCTCTGAGTAGGGAGGAGACGACATCCAATTGAACAATCCAGGCACCTTTACTGCTTTTCAGTGGTTCAGATCCTAAAGCAACGAAGTTACAGGGAGCTATTTTAGTTACTTCGTTAACTTAGAACTAAAGACAATCTAGCAGACTTCTCTTGAAAACAGTCCCCATGTTGGTAGGTTGTCCAGAGAAACAACCACTATACCTTGTTATTGGAAAGAGTCTTAAGCACTTCAGACTTTACTGTTAGGGAATCAATACCCAGACCTCTGTACGCTTTGTCCCAGGTTTAAATTGTGTTCTGGGAGAATGGAATTTTCATTTAAAGGTCTCAAGCTCCATAATGATGTGCCCAGATGAAAAGAAGTTCAAAGCAGGCTATAAAACTCCATGTGTTGACCTCAGCGCTCAAAACATTGTAAACCAAATACAGATGCTGCTCCCTTTACAAAGGGGTAATTTTGCTCCCCCCCACCAAAAAAAAAAACAACCATAGTACATTCAAAGCACTAGTCAGTGGGAACTGTACCCTAGGTATCATCCTACACATTCTCTTGATCTAGATAAAACCACCCTTCAACAGATCATGCTGTGTTAAAATTCCTCAAGAAATTTATTGAATGACCAGTTATTATCACCTACCACTGAAAGGTAAAAAAATAAAAAATAAATAAAAAATCAGACACTGAACCATCTTAAGTTGGGGACCATCAAGGACCACACTCATGACTTGAGAATGTCTAGAACCATGAGTTCTAGAGCTTTAAGTAAAGAAAGATTATCTACTTATATCTTGCTTTCCTTCCTATATGTGAAGACTTTATGTCAAAAAAAGCTCCCAGTACTTTAAGTTGAAATAACATGAAAGCACATCTCTGAAGTTAAGTGGTCAAATGTCTACTCCAGGCCACATTACACTCCCCTAGCTCTGTAGTCTCCTGAGCTTCCACCAAAGATGGCAGACTTATGTAGAAGCACATTTCCACCATACAAGTCAATGTGTATTTAACTAGCTCAACATTCAAAATAATTTGTTTTACAGCATCTGAATAAGTATTGATTGTGTGTGAAAATCACATCATACTGTGGGAGCTGCCTGTATGCAAGAATGCAAAGTCCAAGAAATTGGTTGTACTTTTTCTGATTAGATATTGATTTATTCTAAATATGTCAAGTACTGTAAGAACACTTGAAGCCTGAGGGTACACAGTCATTTTAAGAACAACAACTGAGTTTCTCCTTGCTTATCTGAACCTGCATTTGCCAGAGCCACTTTAATATTAATAATGATAAGGATTCTGTCGGAGTTTCTGACAGCTGGATTACTCCAAAGAGTGAAAAGAACTGGACAGCGACAGCACACAACTGTCATAAAACATTTCATGAAGTACAGCCTATTCACATAAATGATGTTACCAAGTTTTCCAGATTCTTAAAGTAATTTCTAAAAGATATGGACATCTTTCTATAGTAAGAGTGCTTTCAACATTATTTGAAATGCCTCCTTTCTAAAAACAGATGAGTTCTATAAGCAGGTAGCTTTCCCCAAACAGTGATTTAAAGTATCATGAAACGTGAGCAGAAAGAATGGATTGAGCAAAGAGTTAGCACTTGGTCCCAGAATAAAGTGGTACCAGGTTAACAAAGTAACTTTAAAGTGTAGGCTACTTTGGAACCAAAGTATTACCCTGTAGTAAAATTCAAATGAAAAAAAAAAAAAAATTGACCATTCACCAAGTTTTGTCACCTTTACAATGAACTTAGGAAGTTTTATGTTGATTTGCCTTTCCTCTGCAATGTTAACCCTCAAACCAAACAGAGAAACATAAATTTTGAAGAGGAAAAAAAAATTAATCACCAAAGTAATACCAGTCCTGGTCAGATGAACTTCAGAGAATATGCAGAGAAATTATCTGTTCCCCCAGAGACCAAGTTACAAACAGATGAAAACATACCCAGGCAAGGAGAGAACACTGACAACCAAGTGAAGCTTGGAAACTCATAGTGAGAAATTATAAAAAGTTTTCTTAAAAGTATGAAGGGGAAAATATAAGAGGAAAAGGTCCAAGCCATCACCACTGTATACCTTTTAACAGAGACAGACATCAAACACTCATCTTCCCAGGGATTTTAAAGCATACTATTCAAGAACAAGCCCATGAATTAAAAATGTTAAAAAGACAAAGAGTGCCACCCATTTGTTTCGCTAATAAAAACGTCGGTGAAACTGCTGGGAACATCCAGTTCTGCCTGTAAACAGGCCATGCCGGCTGCACCTCACAGGTGTTCAGCCAGCCAGCCAGCCAGCTGCCAGAACCGGGCTCTAAGCACGTCTCACGAGCCCAAGCCCTCCGCCTGGAAGGCTTGCTTGGTTTTCTGGGTCATCAACGTTAGTTTTTGTTCTCATCACACCAGAGAAAAGTCACAGGAGAGTCTGTCTCAGGCACGAAAGAGAAGGAGAGTATAGCCTGCAGGAAGGAATCCCAGAGGATTCAGTCTTATGCCAACAGTGGACAGTGAGGGTGTTTGGGTAGTGCACATACCTGAACAACAACAAAAATTCAAAACATTTCCTGTAGTATCTGCCACTCATTTACTCCTCGGAAATAAGCCTTTGCCTTCCCAGAGAGCCACACAGACACACCCCCGGAGAAGAAGCGCACTCACCAAAAAGTGACAGTACTCCACAGGCAGACCAGAAAACCAGTGACATGCCCACGCTGCCTGTGTTCTGGAGTATGCCCTTGGGGGAGATGAAGATGCCCGATCCGATGACGGTGCCGATGATGATGGAGACCCCCCTCAGCAAAGTGATCTTCTTTTTCAGAACCACCTTCTCCTGCCCTGGTGGCTCTTGGTCTCCCACGGGGGGCAGCCTCCCGCTCACATTGCCCTGCAGGTAGCCTCCTTTGGAGATGGTGGCCACAACTGGCTTTCTGACCATGGCACTGTCCCACCAGAGGAGGAGGGTGGAAAAAAAAAAAACAGGGGGGAAGATAAACAAACTTTCAACTTGTTTCTCAAGATTGTGACTGGTGACTGTTCCTCTTTGCTTTCACTGACTGGCTCGGCAGTGTTGTGTCCACAGGTGGAGACTCGGAGGTGTATGTCACCGTTCCTGGCTATCTAATTACTCCTCTTAACTCCTCGGGAGCACCTGTGAGGCTCAGGCTCCGGAGCAGTCAATTTGCTGCCGCCGCCGCTGCCCTATCATTACACACCAGCTCAGCTTCCTCGTGGGCTCTTATTTATGCTACCGCCTGTCACACCAACTTACTGGGCTGCGTGATGATGCAAATTCTCCAGGTTTGCATCAGCCACATGAGAAAGCTCCAGCTTGAAAAAGTGCCAACATTACTCAGCTTTTTTTTTTTTTTTTTAACAGTAGCTGTGTGTTGCTCAACTGACCCAAAGCATTTCCCAGAACAAAGCATCCTCTTAAAGAGGGGCTTAGCCAATCCAGAATAAGTAAACTGGGAATAGACGTTGTCGTTGTCGGGTTGACTTTAAGCAGCTCCCGCTCGCTCTCAGAGAGAAAAGAAAGCGGAAAACGAAACAGGAAACAATTACTTCATTTTAAGGAGTTGCTTCTTAACTTTAACGTGTGCATAAAAATGTTGTATGCACAACTGTTTTGACAATAGAGAGTGCCTTAGGGCTGCACTGTTTGCAACAGCAAAGTTTATACTTCATAATTTGTATTCTACTTACTTCTCGGGTGTTTCCTAGCAACACTGTCAAATCTAATATTTACAAAGCCAGGAAGTTTCTGCACACTAGAGCCGTGACTACACAGGGCTCCACATGAACAGACACAATTATTTCTTAAGGCCTATAATACACTGGCGTTTAAGATCGCCCTCTGAGTTTGAGAAGTTGAAAGATCATAGCGACTGCAGAAAACAGTAGTTTTCTGATTCTTGTCAGCACAGTGTGATTTCCTGGACTAAGCAGGGGATTTGCTCTTCATTTGCATGTTGTTCCATCAAATTAGAAACTCTCTACTTTGAATCTTGGGCAATACTTACAGTTGCATGAAGGCAAAGGCATGCATAGGGCAAAAGCCTGATGAGGGAGTCACAATATAATAGTTGCAGAAAGTAAAGAGATTATAGGACATATTTTGGGATCAATAGCTATTATGAGTATAATTTAACATGGATTAAAATCAACAGGTACTAAGTTTTAGTTAGCTCAAAGCTAGAAGTTCTCAGTGACTATAACAGACATGTACAGGTCCATTTCATAAAGCTAAAAGGGTGTTTGTATGTTTTTTTTAACATAAGGAAATAATAAAATTTTGAGGAGATGGAATGCTTTAATTTACAATATACACATGTACTGAAACCTAACACCCTTATTAATACACATGGTTTTTGTTTTTGTCAATTAAAAAGAAATTTAAACAAATAAAAGTACATTAAAATTGCAAACTGGGGTTAAAATATTTGCATTGAAAACAATTTCTAAAAAATTAAACATGTAAACTTGAAACTTTTTGCTTCTAACCAAGTGTCTTATAAAAACAAATATCAAAAGGAAAGGAATCTCAACTATCAGCCTTGGCTCTGGGCCTCTGTGGTTTGAATTTAATGAGAAGAATCAGATGTCATCATTATCCTAAAGCTATGTTCAGACCCCATGATTAAATATGCTTTTCAATCTCTGAATAAAAACAACAAACAGAACATCTCTGTGGAAGCAAGGTTGGCTGAAGGGGATGTGAGGGGAAAGGAGTGAGGGGAGGAAGTGAGGGGAAATGAGAGGAGGAAGGGAGGGTAGAAGGGAGGGGAGTGGGGTGAGGAACAAGGTATGTGGGGAGGCAGGTAGGGGTGGAGGAATGATGGAAGCAGGAAATAACATTGGAAAGGAATCATGGAAAAAGTCACACCCTTTCTATTAGGTCCTTACCTGAGAAAATGTCCATGACATGATTGCCTTATCACATAACTGACTGAGGCCTCATAATTTCCCTTTTACACAATCTACCCTCATTCTGTATAATTTACTTTGGATCTACCAATCATCATTTTTATAAAGCCAAAAGTAATACTTTTCCTCAACTGTTATGTAACCCAAAAAAATAAGAAGTGGGGAATGTTTCTCACTCAATCTTGTCTGGCTTCCTCAAAAGGAAAAGAGGGGACCCACCCTGTTCCATTTCTCCTGTTCTTGCTCAAATGTCCACTCACATAATTTTCCTGATTAATGAGCATAAGTGTCACTCTCCCCTCTCTTTTCCATTTCTCCTGTTCTCGCCCGAACTTTCCCTCTCATAATCTTCACGATTAATGAGCATAAGAGGGGAGGGGAAGTTTTTGTTTCCTCAAAGGGGAATGTTAATTCCAAAGACTTAGGAGTTTAAAGTAAAGCACTAAAACCCCAGGCAATGGTTTCTTGTCCCTCCATGCACCACCCTTTGATGACTAGATTATAAATGGTTGTACTAGAAAGACTAGGGTGCTATTAAGACAGGATGTTGGAAATATTTTAAAGGAGGAAAAATGTTCTTCCAATTTTAAATAGCATTCTCCTCCTTGGGAATTTTAATAGGCATTTACAAAGAAAGATCTGAAATTGTACTAATAGTTAAGAAGGCAGAACTATCCTGTATGGGTCTAAGACTCAAACTTTCTTCAAACCTGCACACAGCTAATAAAAACTAACTACAAAAAATAAAATACAGGTTTCAAAGAAAATGTTGAATTACCTTGACTCTTAATGCTTACTCTGCTCAAGGAATAGCCCCCCGTTCCCTGAAAGAATTTCACATGTGACACGCGGCGGTGCTAAAGCTGCCAGCCCTGTGTGTGTAAATATGGCTGTAATGCTTAGGTGCGGCCAAACACTGATTATTTTTCCAGATGCAGTGCATCAGAATCTGACCTGAGCTGAGATATTCCTAAGTAGAACTAGAGTTACCCTTTCTTATTTGTTGGCCGCTGTAGTCACAAGGGTCGTCCAACAACTGGCAGTCATGTCCCTGGCTGGGTTGAAGGGGTCCCCACGGAGATACTTACAGGCCCAGTATCACAGCAGTATGTCTTCCTTGCCAAGAAGGTGAGATTAGTGGGGAACCCTGAAGACCTTCCATTGATCGTGTCAGCTGCTGGGGTTCCCTAGGAATGCTGACTGGTACCCCACACAAACATCAGTCACACACGGGTGGTGGGGCTGAACGTGCAGGCTCCTCGTTAGGGCTTCTAGGAGCAGGGTGCACCATGTGATAGCCATTAGCCACATGTGGTCACCAGTTCTGGAGATGTGTTTAAAATTTAAAGTTCTACAAAATGACTTCCATAAGAAAGAGCTTACACGCTTGGTGAAAATTTAGAGAGTCTTCAATATGAAATAGAGGAGGCATATATTTTAGTTGTGATGTTTGAAACAAGACCATTCGTGGTAGTTCAAAGAACAAAAACCATGTGTGGTGGGCAGAGAAATATGCTCAACTAATTTTTGTGCATCTCACTTTAGCGCAGAAGCAAATGACTTTTTCCCTGTAACTAGCCAAGTAATTAGTATTTTAGGCTTTATGTCCATTCTTGGTCTCTGTACAGTGTTCTTCACTTACATATATAAGTGTGTATACACATGTGTTACAGCCTTTTAAGAAGATAAAGCTCATTCTTAGCTTCTGTATAGTTTGTCAGCATCTTGACAGCAGTCAGGATGAAACAGTACAAAACCATTGCAATGGCTTGTAGTAGGGATTTTTACAAATAAAGTTTTATTAAAACACACCCAAAGCTGCTCATTAATTTATTTCTCAAGCTGCTTTCACATCACAATAGCACAGCTTGCAAAAAAGATGTGTGGACCCCAGAGTGGAAATGTTTATTTGCCTGTAGCTCAAGAACACTCATAGGATCTGACCAACACTTACATTTACTGTTCTCTTCTTCTAATATGTGTCCTTCTGTGTTCATTGCCCACCAGTCCTCAAAGGGAGGTGTGCTCCTGACTTGATGTATTAAAAACATCATCTCCTCTGCCTGAAATTCTGTCACTTAACGTACTTATTTTACTAATTTACACACTTAACAGTTATAATAAATTAATATTTACCAATTTTCTCTAATCCACATTAGGTTGGGTGTTCCCTGATAAGGAACTAAGTTCAGAGTTCTGCATCCTGAAATGCTCAGTCTGCTATGGAGGAGACGTCACTGAGTACACTTCATAATCATTAATCACAGTACTATAAGCAACACTGGGATATGTCTATAATGAGAAAGGAAAAGGAGAGGCTCTGGGGCAGGGCAGGGAAGTGAAAGAGCTAAGTCATGATTGGTCATGCTAAAAGGTTAATGTATAACATGCAGAAATGAAAACAACTATAGCAGAATATTAGTTAGAGATTTGGAGATGAGCAACAGGAGGAAGAAAAAACACACTATGTACAAAAAAAAAAAAAAGTTGTCTCCAAGGAACAAGAAGGAACACTTCTGAGGAATGATAAAAAGCAAGGACATCAGTTTATTTCTTAATGCTTTTAGAATACCATGTTCTTACTGATAGATAACACGAAAACAGAGTATGCTGGAAAGTTATGTAAGAGAAAATAACATAAAACTAAAAAGTGATTAAAGTGGTTTTTAAGGTCTTTCAATTGGGGAGATGAGGGATGAGACAATTCCTCATATTGTGTGGTTATTTATTTGTGCTAACAACTGAGATAAATCACTAAATGTAAAGAAAAATATGAGACGGTAGAAGGACAGAAGATGAGGGAAAGGAGGAATAAAGAGGGTGTCAGGGAGAAGGAAAAGAAAAGGACGGAGGGAGAAAGATGGGAAGGAAAAAAAGAAGGAAGGAAGGAGGAATTAAAAGAATGAGATAGAAGGGAAAGAGGAAGGAAGAAAAGAAGAGCTTAAGAAATGACAGAGAGAAGGTTAAAAAAAGGAGTGGGGGAGAAGATGGACTGGGAATGAAGGGAGAAAATGAGGGGAAAGACAAAGGAGAGAGAGAGAGAGATGGACAACAAAGAGAAGGAAGAGGGAGAAAAGAAGAAAAAAATAAACTAAGCAAAGAAATCCACAACTGCCAACCCATGGAAGGAAGGAAGGAAGGAAGGAAGGAAGGAAGGAAGGAAGGAAGGAAGGAAGGAAGGAAGGAA